CCCGCGGCAACGCGCGGCCGGCCCGCCGGCCAGGGGTTTATGGAGCGGCTCGCCTTTTCCCCACATTCCCCCGCCCACACACACCCCCCCAGCTTGGAAAAACAAATCCCAACTTCTTGCCTGTTTCCAAACAAACTCTGCGCATCCACACATCGCCTGTCCTTCCCCACCCGCCCTGCTGAGAAGGGACGCCCCACTGCCGCTGGGAGCGAGAGCCGGTGGGATGACCAGTATCGTGTTGGGGACCCCTGTGCCCAGGGCCAGCGACTGTCCCCCCTGCCACCAAGCAGGAGGATCCCTGGTGCTGGGGTGATGACAGACACCCCGGGGACCCAGGCTGAGCTCCCCTACCCCTCTGTCCCCTGTACCAGCACTGCCTGGCAGAGACCCCGGGGAAGCTGTGACAAGGCAGGATGGCTCACAGCCTTCCTGGGGTGCGTGGGGACCCTAGAAAGTCCCGGGTGGCACCTGCCCACATCCACGGCTGCCAAACTCAGCCCTTCATCGTTGTCACCCTCCTGGGTGCTGTGGACCCTGGCTGGGGGGTCCCACTGCTGTGACGCTGTCGCTGCCCCCTCCCCGGTCATCCCCAGGCACCGTCCCAGGGCCAAGGCGCTGTGCTCATCCCAGTGCCTCCCGGCAGGTCTGCACCTTTTGGAGGATTACGGAGGATGTGCCTGTTCATCAGCCATCTCCTTGCCCCGATCAGGAGGCGGAGGGGGTCAGCAAGTACTGGCAGGAGCCTGGATGGCCGGGGGGCAGTGGGGTGGCCGGGGTGGGGATGCTGTGTGGCTTTGGGGAGCCCAGGCTTTCGCTCAGGAGCATCGCAGAAGGCTGCTCCCCCCTTGCAGTTCTCCCTGACCAGCTCTGCTGCCAAACACGACCAGCTCTGCACTTCTCTTGAAGTTATTTTACAAGCTGTCTTGGCGCTGGCAGAGCCAGCTCGTCCCGGTGGGGAGGCAGTGCCCATAGCCCAGCTCGGGGTCTGCTCCCCGGTGCGGGCACTGCCAGGGGGCACAGGGGTCTCTGACCCACTCTGCTCTCCGGCTGAGGACCAGCCTCGAGCAGCCAAGTTCACCCCAGCATCACCAGTCCCATCCATCACCAGCACCGCCACAGCTCGGGTGTCGACAGCAGCGCACACGCCCGGTACCGGCTACACCGTGGGCTCCCCAAGGCCACACCAGGCTACGGCAATCGCTTTCCGGCTAGTCTCTGTCCTTCTCCAGCCCCATCCTTCCCCAGCCTCGGGGGCAGGAGCCCATAGCCCAGCTCAGGGTCTGCTCCCCGGCGTGGCGTGCCGCCGCTTTGGCCTCACCATCCCACGTTCCCTTGGCACAAAGGGGAAGGGGAAACTGAGTCACCAAGCCTCCCGGGACTGAAGGAGCTCTGCGCTGCCTCTGCCCCTGGTTTGAGCCTGCCGGCACTCTGGGAAGGGGGATTTCTCCTGTCTCCCAGTTTTTCTCCTGGGCTAGGGCTGGCTGTAAGCCTGCAGAGCATGGGGCTGGCCCCAGCACCCCAGCAGCCACCTGGGGATGTCTTCTCAAGCCAGGGGCAGGATAATTTGCAGCCATGTGTGCAGCCCCAGCTGTGGTAGGGTTTGACCCCTGGAGGTGTTCAGGATCCGGTGTGGAGCCTTATTTATAGAAACTGGATCCAGTGTGGAGCCCTATTTATAGAAACTGCACTTTTTCTTCCATAGCTCTGTACCACAGGCCACTATTTGCAATAGCTGCACTATTTTATCACCTGCACTATTTCTCATTGACCACTGTTTGTATCATCCGCACCATTTCAACCTGCATCGCTGCTTGCAGCTTTACAAGCCAGAAATTCAGCTGTTTTCTCTTTCAAAAGCTTATTTTCCCCTCCTTTTGAGACTGAGACCAGGACCCACCACAGGACACGAGCTCACACCCGCACCAGGCGGCCAAACCTCGGACCCAGCAGCAGACCTCGCCGCCCTCCCTGCGCCCGTGGGCAACCGCTCTCGGAGGAGGAGGAGCACATAACCGCTGCAGATATTTCCCCTCTTCCCTCACGCCGCTGTTTGCTTTTTCTTGGGAGAATCGGTTTTGGAAACATGCAGTCTCCAAGCAACTTTGAAGCCGCATTGCATCCCGGCCTGAGCGCGCTGGTAGCAGCTCGGTGGGGAGCAGGGGGGGCTGCTGTCGAGAGCCTGGCTCCTCTCCAGCCCCCCAAGGCTTCAGCTTTCATCTCTGAGTGCTGGCAGAGGAGCTGCACCCTGCGAGTTGTTTGCAGAGGCAGCAGCCCCGGCAGGCCGGTGCCTTGGGGAGGTGCCTGGCTGGGAAGGGGAGATGCCATCCCAGCCCCACAACTGGCACTACTGGCCCCGGGGCACCCTGAGGACTCTGAGTGTCCTCAGAGGATCTCCACGGTACCCAGGCTGGGATGCCAGCACACCCGGTGCCAGCCTCTCTGCACCCACCTGAGCTGCCCGCCATGGTCCCAGAGCCTGCAGGGCTTTGTCCCCTCTCTGGGGGTGTCATTCCCAGGGGAGCCCCTCTGCTCTGGCACAGGAAGCAGTGAGGAGCGGATGGAAGCCCTGAGGGATGGATGCCCCTCTCCAAACACTGGGACATGCTGCACTTGGCACCTTTTAGGGAAACATACGGCAGCTTCCCCACGCAGCGGCCTGGATCCAGCCGTGCACATCCCCACGGTGCCCAGTACAACTCTGCTCCCCAGGGGGATGCAGAGCAGCAGGGGCTGATCCTGACCCACTGCTGGGAGCTTCCCAAGTACTGCCAGCTGCTGCTCAGCCCCTCGGCAGGGGCAGTGCTCTGAGGGGGACAGTCTGTGTGTTCAGGGGGGCTCCCCGCTTTTCTCCCTTGACCCTGGGATCTCTCAAGGGTCCCTTTCCTGCCAGACTGGTTTGGAGCTGCACCGGCAGCAGGTGCCCGAGGATGCTGCCCTGAGCCCTCACCAGGTGGGTGCACCCCACAGCACCCTGGCATCCCCTCCACCCTGTGCCACTGGCCGTGCCTCTCTCCCAGCTCAGTCCCCGAGGGCTGGCACGGCAAGGAGCATGGCTGAG